TTTGAACGATCTCGCAACTTTTTACTTCTTTTACATTTTATTTTAATATCTTTTTTTTTCTCTCTCTCGCTAAATTTACCTTTTCGACACTGCATGGGAAAATAGACTACTTTGTGTACGATGACAATTTCAAATATAATAAAGAAAGAAATGAAATGAGAAATAAGTAAAACAAAAAATATCCATTTTTTGGAATGCACTTAATGTTAAGGTGCAATTGAAGCTTTTCTTTTGAATATAATTTAATGTTAAATGTCAAAGGTTTACTTCTTTTACATTTTATTCTAATATCCTACTTTTTTTTCTTATTAGTTTTACATTTGGACACTACATGGAAGTACAGTCTATGATAATTGCGATGTTATTAAACAAATATAGTAAGTACAAAGAAATGAATTGAGAAATAGAAATAAGAAAAATGTATGCTTTTAAAATTGAACTTAATTTTAAAGTGTAACTTATGCTGATTTTCACTGTGTGTTTTGCTTAAATATTATGGTAACCCTACATTTTTAGTTTAACTTACTGACACTACATGACACTATAGTGTACTTTAAATACGCAAAATCAATACAATGTAATAAATATAAAAGACATGAAGTGGGAATAGATATATATATATGACCCACGATAACTTTTCGGACTTCCAATGCTAAAATCCGTGGTTTTATTCACTGCAATGGACACAGCTGATAGCCCAATAAAGCTAAGCGGTAAAAAAACAAAAAACTAGTTATTCATTATACAAATTTTCCCTTTCTACACTGAAGTCTTTTAACGTTATATTTGGTTCCATAGCATCATTAACATCAAGTCTTAACAACGGACAACAACTCTTACGATAAAAATAACTCCAATGTTTATAAGAAGAAGCGGAAAATTCAGATGTCGACTAGAGCCATATTTAGAAAAACTATAAACATTTCTTGGACTCGGTGTGAAAAACATCAGATACAGTTACTAACACGGTTCTAGCTTGTATGATTTTAGGAAAACTCTTTTTGGATATCCTGTTTAATACAACTATAAAACCCTTGATAGAAGATTCACATCTTCAGTCTATAAGAAATCAATTCTGTGTTATTAACCATTTAACAATGTACAACACTGTGAAGGTATTAAGTATTTTGTCTTTCTTCGTGTTGACCCAGGCTGATGTCCATCATCACACAGCTTGTAATACTGTTGGTTCACTGAAAGGAATAGTGGACTCCGTAACAGAATTAGTAGATCTGGCTAGAGAGAGGATTTCTACTTTAGAAGGTAAGATATTTTACTTGAAGTATTTTTACTTACAGATAACTTCAACATCCACTAAAAGAACATCTAAATATAACTATATGCTAAGTTGTAATGTTAAACCTAAATGTTACAATGTTATTGTTGGTAACACTGTATGTTCAACTTCTTTTCTGTTTTCACATTAAAGTTTTTCTCCGTTACTCTTTAGATGTATTTTCTACAAACACACTTGAACGAACATTTCCATCGATTCTTAATGACAAACAAAACCAGACAAACGGAGCCTTTCAACAATCTCTTTGCGTGACACAGACGACGGAACCTCTACCAGAAGATTGTGCCAGTATTTATAAACAACAACTGAACCGAACCAGCGGTGTCTACAAGATTCAGCCACGGTTTTTGAATCAGTCGATCTCTGTATACTGTGATATGGAGACAACAGGAGGAGGGTGGACGGTGGGTGAACTAAACTTTGTCTCAAAGCAAGGCTTTAATCAAGTATTATTCAGGGCCTTTTTTATGAAAATGTATTTCAAATTAAGGAATATTTTAATAGAAAAAAGACTCAGTTATTTCGAATAAATCGAGAATAAATATGAAACTCCTGATATAAAAGAAAAATAAATATGTTTACTTTCCTAATATGATAACACTTTTAATTTTTTTATTATATTTTTTCACTAACTCTGTTTATTGAAACATTCCAATTATCACGTTTAAATTTAGTATTTGCCAAACGTGTTTTCACTTGGTCATACTTTTGTTCTAGGTTTTATTTATTACTAATTATTTGTTTTTATTCTACAATCTTCTTTCACACATATATTTAGATAGGGTGAATGTTTCTTATTTTACTTGTAAAACGTTTTACTCAAGACAGTTTCCACATGTTTCAGTTGCTAAAGAACAACTCATATAGAAATATCAACTTTGAATTTTCATGTTGTTGTTGTTCGTAAGATTTCAAACAACGTATTATGTATTTATTATTATTATTTTTATTTCTAGTTGATCCAAAGAAGAGGAGATTTTGGAAAACCAGTTGAAAGTTTTTACAGATCGTGGGAAGAATACAAAAATGGTTTTGGAAACTTAACCAAGGAGTTTTGGTTAGGTAAAACTTTATATATTTATTTAACAGTGATCCACCACTTTTATATTTCATGTTACTTGGTATAATTAATTATTTACGGTTTTGTAAACAATTTATTTATTATGGACTGCTTCTGTTCCAGGAAATGACATCATCTTCTCGTTGACCAATCAAAACAACATGGTGCTCCGTGTTGATTTGGAAGACTTTGAAGGAGCTCAAAGATATGCAGAGCATGATGAGTTCTTAGTACGAAGTGAAATAGATCTTTATAAAATGAGTTTCAAGACGTACAAGGGTGACGCGGGTGAGTTTAAACTATTTGTTCACATCAATAAGTTTCCTTTATTGTTGATATAAATATAATATTGATATTTAGAGAGATAATAGGTGCGGTAAAATAAATTGTATAAATATCATTTCATGCACAAACGTTTCTTAAGGCTACCGAACTATTTTTTTCTCTCTAAACATCAGTAATATATTTACCATTGTTATGTCACGTAATATAGTCATATATACAATGGTTAAGCTAATAAAATCATTAACAGAAATTAGAAATATTTTGAATAAATATCATTTAAGTATTACAACTCTGGTTCATAGTTACAAAACAATTGAAAAAAGAAACCCTATTCCAATAGATAATATCCTACATTAGATGTTTATGTTTTGTTGTTTAATTTTAAAATTATTTCGATATTATTTTAGGAAATTCTCTCGCTCACCACAACAACATGATGTTCAGCACCAAGGATAAAGACAACGATAAAAACAGCGACAGTTGTGCTCAAACCTACAAAGGCGGATGGTGGTATAATAAATGTCACAGCACAAACTTAAACGGCTTTTATTACACAGTAGATAAGGTAGACGCTACAGGTATTACCTGGTATGAGTGGAAAAGTAAATATAGCACATTAAAGACAAGCGAGATGAAAATAAGACCTGTGGATTTTATTAATGGTGACTAAAGAATATATAAATTATAAATATACTATGAAAAATTGTATTTTACACTATTTATGTATAGATAGACAGACAAGAGAGATAGATACCATTAATTTTTATATTTTTGTGCAGAATTTTATCTGAATGTCAACAGACTTGAATCAAATGTAATGACGAGAAACCCATAGTTTGGAGACCCTTTTCAAAATGTTGCATATTTGTTAACTGAAATAAATACTTCAACCAAATACACACACACATATATATATTCTGGTGGATCTATATATCTCTTACTTTGATCTAACATGTTCAACAGAAACTAATATGTGTGTATTAGATTTAAATAGTTCTGAAATAAAAATGATTAGACTATTCACGGAAGAAATTAATTATATTATTAAACATTTATCCATAGAATGTTTATATTCTACTAATATATTATTTAGACCTGAATGTTGTAGATAAGTTAGTATAATTATCTTACTGTTTATTTGTAAGATATTACGTTCTGCTTCTATAGCGTTTGTGTAATC